ACCTGGAGCAATGGCAGGGTTGCAGGTGAGCAGTCTTTGTGCCTGCTAGGAGGAAAAAGCTCTTTTGTGCTTTCCACTGCCTGCATTGCCAGGGCCAGTGGACTGAGTGTGCAGGGAGTAGCCTCTCTGCTATGCCCGTGTAGCTGTCATAGGTTTGGCCACCCTCTGGCTGGCCTGGTGCAATGGTGGGTGCAGCATGTTTGTGAGTCGGACAGGAGGAAGGAACAGCAGGTTGTGTATCACTGTGGGGGGTCTGGAGGATGCATTGTCAGTCAGGGGGATGGAGCACCTTAAGCTCCCAGAAGTTCTCAACCTTCTGGATTGAGTGTGCTGGGACAATTTTTCCCCCTGAGCTTTCTACTGAACAGCAACCTCTATGGAATCCTTGCCCCTTTAGCAGCTCTCTCGCTGTTGGGAAATCTCTCAGAGTGCCCACCTTTCTTTTGTCCTGGAGGGGCCGGTTGTTGGTACCTGCTCTCCAAAAGCAGCTGGAATCTCAATCTTTCTGAGTATTCCACCTGTCTTAGCTTTCCAATTCCACTAATCTCCAGAGCACCACATAACGTATGTTGGTACTTCCAGAGCAGATCTCCATGTCTGAGTTTTCAGCATTCTTAGGCCTCCACCCCCTCCCCACTCCATTTCTCTTCCTCCCACTGGTGAGCTGGGATGGGGAAAGGACTTGAGTCCCACCAGATCATGGATTTGCTACTTTACCTTTTTCTGTGAGATCTTTTCTTTTCCACAGATGTAGGCAGTCTGTCATAGTCTTTCCTGTTGTTCTTTCAGAATTAATTGTATTTGCTGTATTTTCATATTATATGTGGTTTTGGGAGGAGGTTTCTGTCTCTTCTCTCATGCCACCATCTTTAATCCCATCTCCTTTCTCATCGTTTTTTTTTTAGCACTTCCTTACTCTCTGACATCATAAGTTTTTCTGGGCTCATCTAATATTTTCCCTGCTCAATCCTTCTTAAAGAACTCCAGCTTCTTTCATAGGACAATGGTATTTCAAATGATCTTCCACCTTTGTTTCAGAATGATGACATAAATATTTTTAAATGTTCTATTATGAAAAATTTTAAATATAAACAAAATTAGAGACCAGGACAATAAACTACCATGGATTCATCATCCAGTTTCAGTAATGATATGCCAATCTTATGTTTATTTGTCCTTCAATTTTTTTCTTCCTCAAGTATTTCAAAATAAGTCCCCCCTTCATTCCATTTCACCAGTAAATATCTCAGTGTCTAACTATCTTATCTAATTTTTTAAGGACTTTTCTATAATATACCCACCACATCCTCATCACACTTAACAAATAATTCCTTAATATCTACTACCCTCCCAATTCAGATTTCCCTGACTGTTTCAAAACTGTCCTTTCATACTATATATAATCATCCAGGTCCTTATAGTGTATTTGGATGTTATATGTTTTAAGTCTCTTTTATCTTAAATAAGATAATAATAAACAGTCTCCATCTCTCCACCCCAGCACACTTCTAAAAATTGATTTTGTTACAGAAACTGAATCATTTGCGCTGTAGAATTTCACATTCTGCATTTGGGTGTCATTTAGCTTATTCCTTCACTTCCCATATTTCCAAAAACGCAGTAGCTGGAGCTGGAAGATTGATTAGGTTCAGTTTCATATTTTGGGTTAGACTGCTTCATTGGTAGTGCTGTGTACTTCTTATTCCATTACATTTGGAGCCCCTAAGACAGGCTCACCCTTTTAGGATATCAAGATTGCACATTGGGTTCAGTTAGTGTCAGCCTGGTTCCCCCCTTTTAAAATTTCCCATAACGTTTCATCTCATAGTTCTAGCATTCATTGGCAATTTGTTTCCTAAATCAATTAATTTCATTAGAGATAGAGAAATGGTAGTTTTCTAGTTTTAGCATTCCTACTGCATTTATTATTTGGACTTCTTTAAAATTCCCCTTTATCATCTATTACTTGAAATACAGTTCCTACAAGAAAGGCAAGATACATGCTTGAGTTGTTCCTTTATTTATCAGTTTTCAGTAGTTTCAGTGTTGACAATTGAGGGCTTTTTGGTTTTAGTATTATGAAATTCATGGACTTATATATATTTTCTGTTTCATTCTGGTGTAGTCATTTTCTTTGTTATGCACAAATTGTACCATCTTAGACTAGAGGGAACAACTTCAAGTTAACCCTGTGCCCTTTGTCTGACCCCACTTGACTCTCATGGCTTCCTTTCTTCATGGTACATTAAGATATCCCATGTTCATCTTGTACATTTTCTGCCCCAGACCTAGAATCAGTAATCACTTTAAGCAGTCTTCATTATTTTTTGTGGAAAATGCTATGTATAGACCACCCCTGCATGCTGAGATGCTCACTGGTCATTATCTTTGCTTCAAGGTCTCAGTGACAGTGGACAAATTTAGGATATACATGCTTATTTTTTAAAGAGGAGTTTATATTAATATTTCCAGTTAAAATTTCCTATTGCAGGGTTTTAATTTCTCTGATTTTATTCTTGTATACTCTCTCTCTTAAGCTTAAGTATTATTTTCTAATGATGTTAAGATAACATATGCTTTATCTCACAGTACTCAATACTCCTATAATGGTCTCATAATAACACTACCAATATTACTATTAATAATTAAACTTATGAATTTTGTTTTAGGTTCAAGCGTATATAGTTATGTAACCACCATAATCAAGATATTTCTGAATATATAATAGAAAATGGCCAGACTATATATAGAAATAGAACTCTGACCCAGAACCTGCAGCAACCTGCTGAGGAAGCCAGTCCAGTATGTGCAATAACCAGTCTAGGAAGTCAAACTACTATCTGTAGAAACCAGTGTAGGAAGTCAAATAATACCACTTGTAATAATGGGCCACAAATGGCCAGGACTTCATTAATAACTGACAGTTTCCCTAATTTTAGCTCCCACTTCCAACTTAGTACCAATTGGAGAAAGTATCCACCTTTTACCCAGTCACCTAGGATGCCCCACCTCTAGTTAGTTTACCAACAGCTTCCCCATGCCAACAGCCTCCCAGCAGGGAAAATCCCAGTTTTCCACTTTGTAATGCTGTCTGGTACTGTATTGTGTGTTTGTACCATAGTTTATTCAATTCATCCTCTAGTGATGGATATTGGGCTATTTGAAGTATTTTGCTCTTATCAACAATGTCAAATGCCTTGTGCATTTGTCATTTTGTGTATCTTTGCTAAAGTATCTTTGGAATAGAGTCCTAGAAATAAAATTAAATCACCACGTCAAAGAGTAAATGTATACGTAGTTTTGCAAGATATTTTCAAATTCCTCTCTTGTGGGATTTGAACCCTTTTGCATTTCCAACAAATATGAACGAGAGGATCTGTTTTTTTCCTGTTTCCACGGAAATAATGCCAAAGTTTCATATTTTTGTCAATGTGGTAGGTAGGAAATAAGCTCATACTATAGATTAGATTTTTCTTATTACGGGTAAGGTTGAGCATCTTTTCATATGTTTAAGTGTCATTTGCAATTCTTTTTCTATGAATATCTATTCACATCTTTTGCTTATTTTTCAGCAAATTGCAGTGTTGGTCTTTTTAACCCCTCAGTTTGATGAGGATTCTATATATGAAGGATGTTAGTATATTATAACATTGTTATATATATGTAGCAATTTTTTTCAAATTTGTTGTTTGTCATTTCATATTTATAGCTTTTTCATACCATATTCTTATATTTATGTAGTTAAATAAATCATTTTTAAAAGTTGTCTTTAGATCTGAGTGATAGCTAGGAATTTCCCCACTCTCAGTGCATAAAAAAAGTTTTCTAGTAGACTTAAGATAGTCCTTTTTGCATTTTAACAGCTTTATTGATATATAATTGACATACCATACAATTTATCCATTTAGAATGTACCATTGAATGCTTTTTGTCATGTTACATTACTTTTAAAATTATGGTAAAATATATATAACATTAAATTTGCCATTTTAACTATTTTTAATAGTAAAATTCAGCAATATTAATTACATTCACAATTTTATGGAACCATCTATCAAATACCACAGTATATTTCCAAAACTTTCTTATCATCCCAATCAGTGATTCTGTAACCACTCAGCAATAACCCCCCATTCTTTCCTCCTGGTAACTTTTAATGTACTTTCTATCTCTGAATATGCCTATTCTAGATGTTTCATATAGATGTAATCATACAGTATTTGTCCTTTTTATTTGTTTATCTCACTTAGCATATTTTCTTTATCTGTGTTGTAACATGTATCAGAACTCCATTGCTTTTTATGGCAGAATAATATTTCATGGAATGGATATGCCACCCTTTGCTTATTCATCCATTTATTGATGGACACAGGAGTTGTTTCCATCTTTTGGCTATTGTGAATAATGTTGCAATGAACATTGGTATACAAACATCTGCACAAGCCCCTGTTTTCAATTCCTTTTGGTGTATACCTAGGATTGCAATTGCTGGGTGATTTGGTAATTCTGTGTTTAGCTTTTTGAAGAAACAGCGAACTGTTTACCACATTTTACATTCCCACAAGTAAGGTATGAGGGCTCCAACTTCTCAGTATCTTTGCCAACCCTGGTTATTTTCTTTTATTGTGGTTGTTGTTTATTTAATAGCGACCCAAGTAGGTGTGAAGTGGTGTCTCATTGTGGTTTTGATTTGTATTTCCCTAGTGACTAATGACTTTAAGTATCTTTTCTTGTGCTTATTGTTTATCTTCTTTGGAAAGATGTCTATTCAAGCCTCCATCCATTTTTTAATTGGGTTGTTTGTCTTTTTTATTAGTGATTTGTAGGAATCTTTATAGATTCTGGGTATTAATCCCTTATCAGATATATGATTTGTAAATAATTTCTCCCGCTCTGAATTGTTTTGTATTTTCTTGATCATGACCTTTGATACAAAAGTAATTTTAATTAAGTCCAGTTTAGCATTTTTTCCTTTTGCTGCTCATCCCTTTGATGTCATAAGAATCCATTGCCAAATCCAAGGTCTTGAAGTTTTAGCCCTATATTTTCTTCTAAGAGTTTTGTGGTTTCAGATCTAAGCCTCAGGACTTTATACATTTTAAGTCGATTTTTGTGTATGGTATAAGATAAGGGTCCACTTTCATTCTTTTCCCATGTGTATGTTACCCCAGCAACATTTATTGAAGAGAGATTATTCTTTAATATTTGAATGAACTTGGTACTCTTGTGAAAAATTGATTGACCATAGATTTATGAGTTTTTTCCAGAACTCTCAACTCTATTCTATTGTTCTATATGTCTATCATTGTGCCAGTACCATACTATTTTGATTAATGTAGCTTTGTAGTAAGTTTCAAAATTGGAAGGTGTGAGTTCTCCAACTTTGTGCTTATTTTTCAAGATAGTTTGGCTCTTTAGGGCCCTTTGCACTTTCATATGAATTTGAGGATTGACTTTTCCATTTCTTTAAAAAGGCCACTTGAATTTTGAAGAGAGGCTGCATGGAATCTGTAGATCACTTGGAGTAACATTGATCTTGCCAAAATTAATTCTTCCTATTGATGAACACAGGATGGCCTTCCATTTATTTAGGTCTTTCAAGATACTTCCTGATATTCTTAGGTAGAATACTAATATAGGCAAGACCATCCAACTCCTTCCAAAGTTACCAAGGAACACATGCAAAAGTCCCAAACATTGAATGATTTCATTAAAACACATTTTATCACAATTCACAAAGCAACACTTTATTTTCATATAAATAATAATCACCGATGAAGGAAAAAACAAAATCATGATTATCAATATTTCCTTAGGGAACCATTTTCATAGAACACTGATGAAGGAACATGTCATACATCTTCAGAGTGGCAGAGGACACAGGGACAAGCATACTAGATTGAAAGCATAAAAGCATATTCTCATAAGAACCAAGCAATCCTTGTTGTTGGAGGACCAAATGGAATCATCATTAATGTAAGTAGAATCGAAGTTCACAATTTGTAAGTCCTTCTTAAGATATGCATGATTCAGTTTATTTACAGTTCGAGCAAAGGCATATTTAGAAGCACAACTATATGCTTCCAAACTGTACACTTTCTTGAAGTGCAGATCAAAAAATGGATTGTCCTAGAAGAGAAAGAGAGAGACATGATTTTGTTTTTACCCAAGGAAGTAGCTAAAGTTCCTGGATTCTCTCATATTCTCTTATATATGCTTATTGATTGAAAGTATCAGTATCAAACATATTTCTAAAATCTGCAAAGGAGCTTTCCAAACCTACTTATTTCAAACATATTGCTTCTAAAAAGAAAAACAATAAGAAAGATTATTTCTGAAGCATCTGTGATTTTTCAATTATACAAATAAAACATGTTTCAGAATGAGCAGTTATCAAATCTTCCTAGGGTAGTGAATTTGAGAGGATAGGTATGGATGGAAGAAGAGAATAACTCACTTACAGACATCTGGATGGGAGAAAAAGTTTCTCCTTTTCTCTAGTAGGAGGTTGGTCACTTGTGCTATTCCAGTGGTAGAAGGGGGCCAGTTAGCCTTTGGCATACTATAGATCACTAACTTGCTTACTTTGAAGTTAATAACAAGGATCATTAAATCATTTGACTGAAACTTTCAAATTACTAAAGAGTGCTTCTTATTGGATTGTTTATTGTTGCTATTCTTCTAGTGGAGATGTTTCTAGAAAAAGTGGACATCAAACCTGATCTAGGTCTTACCTGTTAAAATAATAATAGTTGCTACTATTACTAATAGCAGTAACAACAATGCCTTGCATTTATAAAGTGCTTTTCAGTTTACAAAATGCTTTCACATTCAGTATCTGCCTAACTCCTAACTCTCCTTGAGGCCTGAGGTTTTAAATTATTTATCTTTGTGTTCCTGGTGCTTATTCATGGCAACCACTAAGTTCTCAGCAAATGTGTGTTGATCTGATCTGAAATAGTCCTATAAAAAAGGAAGTGGAGGTAACATTGCCTTAAATGACAAGGAGGCAGAGAGAGACCAAAGAGTACTAATAATTTGTCACCATGTATTCTGTAAACATTATATACAAACCTCTTACGTATTTGCAATCTCTTTTTTAAATAGGAAAATTATTGCAGGAAGCGGGAAAAAAGACATGGGTTTTGAAGTTAGAGAACCATTTTTAATCTCTGATGTAATTGTGAGCAAAGTACTTATCTGATTATAGATAAAATAGTTATGAAGCTTACACAAGATTAATCATATAAACTGTGTAGTACAGAACTTAATAAATGATAGTTCCCTTTCCCAAATCTGCCCCCAAAGATTATGATACTGATGTTAATACTACCTTGCTTTATAGCACTAAAATTTTATTTAAAACAAAACAATGCTTTTAAAAATAATGTACATAGAAAAAAATAAGAACAACAAATGCTGGCAAGGATGTGGAGAAAGGGGAACCTTCCTACACTGCTGGTGGGAATGTAAATTAGTTCAACCATTGTAGAAAGCAGTATGGAAGTTCCTCAAAAAACTCAAAATAGAAATACCATTTGACCCAGGAATTCCACTCCTAGGAATTTACCCTAAGAATGCAGTTTCCCAGTCTCAAAAAGACATATGCACCCCTATGTTTATTGCAGCACTATTTACAATAGCCAAGAAATGAAAGCAGCCTAAGTGTCCATCAGTAGATGAATGAATAAAGATGTGGTACATATACACAATAGAGTATTATTCAGCCATAAGAAGAAAACAAATCCTACCATTTGCAACAACATGGATGGAGCTAGAGGGTATTATGTTTTGTGAAATAAGCCAGGCAGAGAAAGACAAGTACCAAATGATTTCACTCATCCGTGGAGCATAAGAACAAAGCAAAAACTGAAGGAACAAAATGGCAGCAGACTCACAGAACCCAAGAATGGACTACCAATTACCAAAGGGAAAGGGACTGGGGAGGATGGGTGGGAAGGGAGGAAGAAGGGGAATAAGGGGCATATAATGTAATGGGAGTGGGCCCGGGGAAGGCAGTATAGCACAGAGAAGACAAGTAGTGATTCTACAACATCTTACTACACTGATGGACAGTGACTGTAATGGGATATGTGGTGGGGAGTTGATAATGGGGGAATCTAGTAACCACAATGTTGCTCATGTAATTGTATATTAATGATGCCAAAATCTAAAAAAATAATAAAAAAATAAAAAGAATGTACATTAGTGATGTGATTTTTAAATGCAGTGTTTCCCTAGTCACACCACACAAAGTTTTTCCTAGGTAATTGCAGCTTCTAAGACACTTCTGCAGAGAATCTCGATAAAAGGAAATCATACCCATTCCATTACCAGATACTAATCATGCTCCTTATGTAGTTTGTTCACTGAAACATTTGCTCCCTATCATGTAGAAAATATCCTTTACGCTTTTGAGATACTCAGAAAGGATTACTTTTTGCCTTTAGCCTAATAACTGAAGCCTGACCAAACCTGTACCTAAAATACAAGTCCTTCCTTTGTCCCTTCCCCTCTTCCTCCCTCTGTCTTCTTCCTATGGAATCCCAGTGCTAAAAGGATATCTCGCACATCATTCAGTAATCTCTTGTTTATAGGTGGGATAAAAATTTCCAGAGAGGTGAAGTCTAGGTCACACATGTAGTTATCGACAGAGCCAGGACAAGAACTCAGATCTCAATTTCCCCAATTCCATTTTTTGCTGCATCATCCTGTCTCCTATTGTACCATGTTAGCCTCCAAATCCCCAGTCATTTTGATTTCTGCTTTATAAATTGACTTCAATTTCAATTCCATTCCATGTTAAAGTTGACAACTTTCTGGCTCGAAATTGCTCTGTTTAAAACTGTGTCATTGCTATTGAGAAAATTATAATCAATGCTGACTCCTGAGAATTCAATTCCAACAGAGAGAAGTGGAAATTCCCAGAATAACCAAGATATTTTTATTGCTTCCATAGAAAATAAATCTTTAAAAGAGCTAATCTTTGGATACTATAGATTTTCTTCTGACAGTTTAATATTTTGGGTCCTAACATGATAAGAAGAATAGAAATACTCAACTTCTCTTTTGTGTCTAGTTCATTATCCAGGATAGTCATCTTCAAATAGGAAAGGGAAGAATTAACAATGTTGGGATGGAATTAAAGGCCAGAAAGGTGAGGAGGAAAATAGAGCACAGCTACCTGCTTCCAATGAATCTAAGTTGATAGGCTTGAAGAATACATCCTCAGGCACTGACCAAACTTACAAAAAATCATTATGACAGTAATATTTGAGAACATCAGAAAAAAATAAGAAAAGAAAAATGGGTAAGAAAAAGAGGTGGGAATAGTTAATTCCTGAAATGACCAATTAGTGAATTTGACATTGATTTCTGATAAAATCTGATTCAGTAGAAAATTTTTGGCAAGTACATAAAGGTATAAAGAAGGAAAGCATAATTAAAATTTTTCTAATTTTTTAGAGATAGTTATTATTAAAGTGCAGGTTTGTTTCATATACATGCATACATACATATACCAACATATATTTTCTATATTAAAATTTAAGGTTCAGATTTCAGTTTTCAGCAGTATGATGGACTAAATATGCAAAATGAGATAATAGAAAAGTTTTGTACTTGGCTGATTGTTTAAAAACTTATCAAATGATGAACAATTGTGTTCTGAGGTATTCTTTTGGAAACACGATTTTTAATGGCTGTGTGATATTTCAACATATTTATATGCAATAATAAATTTAGCTATTTCCTAAGTGTTGAACATCTAGGTAGGTAGAATGTACCAGGAGAAAAATGCTATGTGAGTACTTAGGAAAGAAAATGATGAAATCCAGCATGTTTTTACCAAGAAGTCATGCCAAACACACTGAATTTTAAAAATAAGATTCCCAGGTGGTAAGTCAAGATAATAGCAGATAACATATTTGATTTCAGTAAAGATATTAAAGGCAAAATTTAGGTATTCAGATAGGATAATTAAGTAAGGCAGAATTAAGTGCTTTGTCTGTTTAATTCTCTATGTACCTTCAGAGCCTAATAGAGCCTAATATTGAGATATAAATATATAATACATAAAGTGTATAATATAAATAAAAATAAATTCTCAATGAATGAATATATCAATTTGTAGAGATGTTAAACAGCAGTCAAAGAAGGCAAAGAAGCAAAATAGCTATGTGACCTTGGGCTAAGCAATCTCTTTAAGTCTCATTTTCCTTACCTATAAATTGAGAGTACTAATACAATCTAATTCATGAAGTTTGGGGATGATTATGTGGAATTATATTTGGGAAGAGTTTTCCATGGTTCCTAGCACCTGATAAGGGTTTATGGGTAGCAAGTAGCACTACTATTAGTAATAGTAGTACTAGCAATAGTGATGACCTATCAATTACTTGGAGATATGCCTTTAGCCCTGCCTGCTTCATCATTTTTATTACCAACTTGAATGAAGTCCTAAATGTCATGCTTATTAAATATGTATCATACAACAATGAATATTTAAAAATCAAAATATTAGATGTGATAGGTGGGACCAATAGCCAAATAAGGAATATGGCATTTAGTAGGATTAAGAATAAATGATCTTAAGTTCTAATTCTACCAACAATAACACAAGTATTTATTACTGCCTAGAATCTCTCAGGCAAGGGGCTATGATAAAACATGAAAAGTCACAGTCCCATTTTTTTAGGAGCTTTCCATCCAGACGGGAGATGGAGTAAGCCAACCATTACAATTTGCAGGGTCATGGCTATAACACATTTATACTCACAATGCAATGGGGGTATGGAGAAAGGGAGACATGAGTAGGACTTTACCCAATGGAGACTCTAGTAATAGGGTGAGAGATGGTGGTTTCTGGGCAATCTAAGCCTCAAGAGTCAGCAGCTAAGCACGCTGTAACTACAAATATAAGGGGCAATGGCCAGATGATAAAGGAGGCAGATCACCAGGCCTTTATTTCTATTTTATTCTATGTAAGTAGAAGGTATGGCATATCAGTTAAGTGGCATATCATGTACAGAAGACTTGAGGCTATAGTTAAGCATTTAATTGAAATAAGTAATCCAGACCAAAGGAGATACAAACTACTCATACTAATTCTGCAGTATTGTATTTAATTCTGGAAAAACTGAAGCATTCCAGAGAGAAAACAATTCCATGATGGGTGTCAAAGAAATGACATGGGGGAAAACAACAACAATTGTATCATCTCTTAATATTTGTATTGTCTTATCATATTATCTCTTATGTGATCTTCATATGGAAGCTATTTAAAGAATGAAGTGGGTACATTTGACCTAGAAAAGAGAAAATTTGAGGGAATATTTTAACTGTCTTCAAATATTGGAAAAGCTGCTACGTGAAAGAAGGATTGACTTTGTTCTGGGTTGCTTCAAATGACCAAATGGGTGGATGTTACAGTGAAGCAGATTTTGGTTAAATGTAAGTAGGAAATCTAAATATAAAGTCTGGCAATTCAGAAATGCAATGGACTTCCTCATGCTTAATGAGTTCTCCATCAGCAGAATAGTTCAAAGAGAGACTGGGAAAACTACTTGTCAAGTGGAGAGATTGGAGTAAGTACCTTTTTCCCACTGCCAACTCTAAGATTGTAGGATTTCTAAGGGTTATTGATCCTTAGGGAGGATCAAGTGGCTAACCAACAGTAAAACTTGAAGAGAATGAGGGACGGAATCCCTAAAACCTGTGGAGGAAATTGGGGTGGGGAAAGAGGATGTGGGGGAAGTATCATGTATTTAAAGTTTCAGAATTGACTGGAAGATTGTTTTTAACCTGTTTGAGAAGCCCTTGGGAAAGATACTTATAAATTTAATAGACAAAATTAAAATTTAAACTCACAAAAACAACAAAAAAAACCCAGTAGATCATCCCAGTAGCTTAAACCATACCACTTAAGAATAATGTCATCTTAACACTTAGTACATGCCAAGAATATATGAAGTAGGATATTGAACATAAAGATCTCCAGTATTGATCCCACCTCTCCTTTCCAAAACATAACACTTACGGTATCTGCTTCTTTTCCATCAATCATCTGCAGATCATTCAAAGACCACTTTTTTGTTACTTCATATTTTTCATCTAAACCTATTCTGTAGTGTTTCACCATAATTATTTTTACTTCTTCATTTTTGGTCACTGTAGGACAGAAAAACACTTAGTTTACATAACAACTCTTAGAAGATAATAAATTTTTCATGAAGTCATACTTTTTAGTATTTATGCAACTCCTTTTCATATAATGAGTTTGAATCTACTTTATATTTGCACCCCCATTATGAACCCTGATGTATCTGAACCTTCATGAGTATGCCCCCAAACTTGCTTGATGTGTTAACTTTATTTTTGCTACATTCATGATCACATGCTGCCACAGTAATGTCTGTCAGATAGAACACTGAGTTACGAACTTTCAGCTATGAGCTTTGTGGTGGAGAATGGGGTTCAACTAGTGGCAAGAAACAAGAGGTTTAGCGTTAGCCCACAGTCAGTGCCAAAGTGTTTACCAGAACAAGTTGGAATTTTAATTTATGACAATATGAGAAAATGAGGTCAGGAAAGTGAACTCTGCTCACACAGCAACACAGTTTTGAAGAGAGACTCGGCAAATACTACTGTGTACACTGTCTTTGGTGTGAGACTTTTGATACAGAAGGGCTTACATCACAGTGACTGTTGGTGCAGTTTGAGATTTTGAATCCTCTCTAGTGTGTCTCAAAATTCTAGCATTTAAAATGTGCAACCAAGACTAAAAGCTTTAGTACCAGATTTTGAAAGGCATGGGAAAATCATTGCCTATTCCATGTAAACAAAATGAGAGAAATAATTTCCTGATCCTAATCACCATCTCTAGTCTCATATGAATACATTAGAAGAATCAACATTTGATATTAGAACTCCTGTACTGAAAATGATCAATGAGTTAATAAAGGAGCATTTACTAAGTACTGCTGTTTGCCTGATATTATAGATGCCACAAGTATGAGACATGGTCCCAACCCTCTAGAAACTTATGGTTTTGTTGAAGAGACAAGGCTAACACACATGAGTTATGTAAAATATGTATTATGAAGGTATGTAGTTACAGTACGAAGAAGTGGCAGTGGGAATTGAATATCTGAAGTACATTCAGTTGGACAGTATGTTGAATATCAAGATATATGATGTCACTTAGAGAGTTGCAAGTAATTCTGCCTTCTAAGAGTGAGACTGGAATTTATCTTTGGGGAAGACCCTCTTGGTTCAGGACAGTGCCACTTTGTCATGCCCTCCTAGTTAAGAAGGTTTAAAGCAATATATTATAACATTATCATAGTAATAGACAAATGATGTGGAGCAGGCAATATGCTCAACAGGAGTTCTGAGAAGAAGGAGGAGTGGAAAAGTTAAAGAGGGAATTATGGGGAAAACAGAATTTGAGATTAGACTTTAAAATTAGTCCAGTTCAGAAACGCAATGATGATCTAAGGCATTTCTAGGCCAAGAACATCCTGAGGAAATGGACAATAGAAGCTGGACTTCAGGTAGAATTAGAGGAAGTGGACCATAAAGATTGGTTGGTGTTAGGACATGGTGGGCAATAGGATTAAAGGAGTCAAAAAGACTGTGAATATGTTTTGAAAGACTGGACTTGAAAATCACAGAAGCCACTGTGCACTTGTGGTATCTGAGTCCCTCTCTCTGGTTGGGAAGTGTAGGAGGGTGGCATGGACAGTGGAGGCTCCAGAATTGGGGCTGGGGAAGGGAGTAATTATCCTCTAAAGATGCAGGTGATACCAAAATTAAGGCAACTGGTTGAGCTTTGAGTTGATAATGGAGCTGAGTTCAGTCCCCTAGAGAAGGGGTCTGAGCAGGCTGACAAATCTAAGAGGGCTCTGGGCCAGGTGTTCAGTGACAGCTCACACAGTAATATGTATTCCATAAGCTTCCTTTCTCCATTAGCAGGGGACTAATACAGGGGAGCCCTGCTAAGGGCTATTTTTCCAGAAGCAGTGAGGCACAAGATTCACTGGAGGAGAAAAGCAAGAGGAACTGGAGGTCCCTGGATAAGGCAGTGTTGAATTCTGGGTTCGGATCATGGCCCCACTTCTTATAATGTGGTCTGAGTAGGTTATTTAATCTCTACAGAGATTAGACCTCAGATTTCTCATGTTGTAAAGTGGACACAGAGTGATATAAACCCATAGGGTGTAAAGACTAAAAGTATATAAAGGACTTAGGATAGTGCCTGGTTTATAGTAATTGTTGAAGTGTTTCAGTGTTTTAAAAGGCTGTTGTAATATCGGCATAGGATGTGGGCAGTGGACATAGAAGTGGCAAATTCAAGTAAGATTACAAATGAGGCATTGACAACCCTTGGTGGAAATAACACTGGATAGAATCCAAAATAAGAAAGCATGGGGGGTGAGCTGGTTGGGTGGAATAATGAGTTTAGTTTTTGATGTACAGATGAGGCGTCCATAAACTACGTCAGTAGAGAAGGAGATGGAAGTTTACAGTTTCAGAACAGAGATAAGGACCTGGGATTTTTCTGTGTGGACTGTTTTTCAAGACTAGGTTTACAGGGAAAAAAGCACAGAAAGAGGTGAGAGACTGGAGAAGAAAAAGGTGCCAGCAGAGAGGTCTGGGAAGGGGCCATCAGAAAGGAGACAAGCCCAGCAGTACAATGCTATGGAAATCAAGAGGAGAGAGTATTGCAAAGATTTGGAGACAATCCCATGAAGTCATTGTGTCGGGTAAAGCAGGGTTCAGTCCCAGCACAGAATCTGACATGGGAAAGATCACTGGATTCTTTGCCAAGGGCAGTTTTTCTGGAATGATGGGGGTAGAAGATAGCTTGCAGAGGACTCCTTCATGCACTGTCTAATACCAAGCGCATTCTGTGTGCTGGTTCCTGGGATAAGTACAATTAAAAAAAAAGAAATTGGAAGAGACTGAAGGTTATGATTTAGATCACATATCTGAAGTGTTTGGAAGATGAGGGACTGTGTATTTTAGGACAAAGAAATGACTGAGGAGAATGTCCTGTAGGAAACCTAGAGCAGAAGATCTTGAGCCAGGCTCAAAAAGCTGGCTCAGGGTCTGTGAGCAAACATTGGTGGGTTTCTGCCCATGTACACTTCTCCAGCCCTAAAAAAGCCCATTCCCACTGATCTAGATATTAGCTTTGGGAAGAGGAAAGGATTAGAAGAGAAGCCATTAGGCTGGTGTGTTTAAGTGGAGGCACGGCTGATACTGTCAGATTAAGACAGGATCTTGGAGGCAGCTGCTTCTATTAGAAGGCAGTTGTGTGTGTCCAGACACAGGACCAGAGGTGATGCTCTTGTGCAGGATAGCTGTCCCACCCACTACTTAGCGGGTGGGAGAGGATGGGTGTGAGGAGGAGTAACTGGATACTGTGTGAAAAATGTAGTCTGAAACAAATTCCATGCCTCATCTAAATGTGACGATAACCAGCTAATTGACTGTAGGCCCACTGATTCATTTCATTAATTTGATAACTAATTGAATGCCCCTGTGTACAAAGCCCTGTGCCAGGCATTGAAAAAAATGAATTCCTGTAAGACTCCATTCCTGTTCTCACTGAGACTACAGGGAGAGGGGGCTTCAGAAAGAAAACACGTGATCACAGTGCTGTGAATGAGGCACAGACAGGGTGATATAGGGAAACAAAGGGTCCTCTTCATCCTACTGGGGGTTAAGGAGAGCTTCCTGAAGGAAGTCGTCTGGGTTGCAGAGAGCAGTGGGAGCTGGCAGAATGAAAAAGGGGTAGAGGGAGTTCTGGATCAGCATGTGTACAAAAGCGTGAACTACTTGACACTGAGTCATTACAGGTATTTGGTATTGCTGGCATGAAGTGTGAGGGTGGATAGGTGGGAGGAAGCTGGTTAGGTAGGAGCTAGATTCTGAAGGGTCTAGAATGCTAGGCTAAGGAGTTTGAATGTTAACCTGAAAGCTGTGTGTGTGGAGACTCTAGCCGGGAGGGTTGTCACTGAGGGATTTTCAGTGAATAGACAGGATGAGATTTAAATTTGAGTAAGTTTTATTGGGCATTTCTGTAAGGGATGGATTGAAGAATGGGATGTTAAGAAGGTAGGATATACTAGTTATCAAGTTTTTATACATGAATGGTCATTGTTCCTCTAACACCAAACTAAGAAAATTAAAAAGCAGCCTTTAAAAGTTAACCATTTGGTGCAATGATGTAGCACAGAGATAATACAGCTTCTTTAATTTAGCAAATTAGCCTCCTCTGGAGTCAAAGAGGCTCCAAGAATTGTCTTTAGCCAAGAGTCAAAGAAATCTACTCAGGCTGGAGTGGACCCAATCTCTGATTTCTACACTTGGGCTCTTCTGCCAGATAAAATTAAATGGCCGTATCCACATTAATGCAATGGCAATATGGAAACTTATCACATTGTCTTAAAAGAGAAATGTGTTTATATAATCAAAATGTTAGAGAGTTGGTTTCAGTAACAGAAGTGCCATTTTATAATTATGATTTAGTGAGCGATATCTGTAGACCCAGGAAATTTCAGAATGAACTGGCTCCAGTTTTAATATTTCAGTTAGCAGTTTCCAAATTACAATCTTAACTTCATGCCAACCATTTACTTTCACTTTTAATTTCAGAATAAACATTGTCATTAATAACTGCTTCTATTACCATGGCAAGATAGTCACTATTATTCAAAAGGCTAAATGGAACCAATATAATTTGGCAGAATAGAGAAAAAAACAGTAGCTCACAAATACACAGGAGCTACACAGAAATGCTTTAAATAAACAAATTATTGTTATTTTATAATCCTAGTGTTGCATAATATTTTTCATCATTGAAATTAAATAATAGGGTAAAATTACCATAGATGTCACAGATAAGAAGCCTCAGTGAAAAAGTTTCAATACGTTAATGATGTCTTGGGGTAGTTGAGAATGCTATTATTGATTTCACCAAAAAAGTTATTTTCACATAATGTTTTATAAATTAATTTTTAGGCACTGTAGTTGGGTGTTTGTGTCACTGCAAAATTTGTTTGTTGAAGTCCTAACCCCCAAGGTTATAGGATTTGGAGGTGGAGTCTTTGGGAGGTACTGAATGGCATTAGTGCCCTTATAGAAAGACCTCAGAGAGATAGATGCCTTGCCTCTTCTACCATGTGAGGTCACAGGGAGAGGACAGCAGTCTGTGAGGAAGTCAGTCCTCACCGGATACTGAATCTGCTGGCACCATTATCTTCTGTTTCCCAATCTCCACACTGTGAGAAATAAATCTTTGTTGTTTATAAGCCACCTAGTCTATAGCATTTTGTTTCTTTTTCTTGTAAACTTACTCTTAGTTAAGACTCTTATCATTAACGATTTGACAAAATTGTTAGCTGCTCTGGTTCATAGAGAAGAAATTTTTTAGGGCATCAAAATGGGCTATGTATGTATGGAGAATTTATGCATACTATTTCATAATTTAAACAAATGCCACTTATTTTCAAATTAATATCAATGGGTGGAAAATGTTTTTCTAAATAAATGAGAATACTTAATCTGTATCTGAATATGTATATAATTTGTATTTACAAAATATATAATCTAATTATATAAATGCTTCATTGTATGTTAGGCATACATATTTATGTATGTTTACTGTACATCTGATTTTATTATAATATTTATTTACAGTATGTACTTTTACATATGTATATTTCAGCATATGTCTTCACAGTAAATATATATTTTTTCTGCATATTTAAAAATACAGCCCTGCTATTTTATTTATTTGGAATATAATTTATCATTTTTTTTCCTAGTTAGGATTTGCAGGAGAGGACTATGTGTAGTAGTAGGTATTATTATTTCCATTTTAGAGATGTCAACACTGAGGCCAGAGAGGATACTTGCCCCAGATATTACAGCTGGCAGGTGGGCAAAGCAGAGTCAGGTTTCACACCAGATTTGTCTGATTCCAAGCATTCCATGATCCATTCCAGCATGCCCTGCTACTGCCCCTTCAGTTATGGCTAATGCTTTATATGCTATTTCAAATCCTTCAGAATTTCTTCAATTCATTTGCACTCTCCTCATGGCATAAGTGACTTAGCGCTTTCTAGTGCCTGCACATAATAGAACTCCTCCCTCCTTTGTAGGAAGATGCTGCTTTTAACTGCCAGGGATAATGATGTTCTAGGCTAGGGGAAGCTAATCCCAAGGAGAAATGACCAGGCAAACCTGAGGTGAGAGGAGTCTGAGGTGCCAGGAAAGCCTCAAAGGAAATCCCAGCAAAGTACAGAGAGGGAGATAGAGTTTATGACATCTGACTTTTGACACCAACCAGGTGAAGTATCAAATAACAGTAAATCACAACCATCTGATTGGGAGACCCCTGCAAATAACACTCTGATCAGATAAATAAAAGGTTTAATTTATTTAAACGTATCTTCTTAAATTTGAAAAATGCAAGATGGAATTTTACCACTCTAGACCTGCAATTCTCACAAACTTAGAACTGCTGGGTTGTAGGCTCTAAAGAAGAAATCATAACTATGCCTCTCTCTACTTTCCGAAGGTGGCCAATGTTCAAAATCTGAAATTACTTGCCTCAGCAATTGTGATATGACCTGTTAGATGCCTATCGATAGAACTTTTCTGAGTAAAACACCGTCACAGATTTAGGACTATTGAGCATCACGTTGACTTTATTTTAAAATGCAGTTGTGTCTAAACATATTTAAAATGGTCATAAAAAGATGTTATATTTAGGGAAAGTGCTCTCAAATGGATGGATGTGATATAGAGGAGAGTCATGAAAAGTTGTGAACTGATAAAACTTATAGTGTTAACTTTTATCTGGAATATCACAATATTGTTTTCTCTTCCTCACATCTGAGAGGACCTTGTTTTTTCCTGCTTCTAACATGACACAATCTTTGCATTTTATTAATGAGGTAATCACCTACTTTACTTGGTCATTTTCTAGATAAGAGAATTATGTCCTAAAGAGGTTGCTTTGATATGTGTTAATAATGCCAACCCCTTGCCCTTCCAATCCTAGTTAAAAGGATTCATGTCACTTATGAAAAAGGATAGCAAGTGACCCCTGCACACAGTGTTTTTCTCAGAACTTGAGGACATAGGGAAAAAAATAGCATCCATTTTCAAAAATTTAATTCTAAGAGACCTTTTTTCATGCCAGATAGAACAAGTTTAGTTAATTATATAATTGAAGGAATGCATTAAGATATATTTGGTAAGTTAAAACATATATTATTGTGATTATTTTATTTTTTATGCTTTTCTTCAAAAACACTTGTATACTGATGTTACATGAAGAGTAATTAGCTTTATAAAGTAGGATCACAACAGGCATAAAATTATTAAATGTTAATGCTGGAATAAGCGTCTTCTCTAATATATTAAGTTGAAATACTTTAAGATATAATGATTTGATGATTAGGATACAATACAGTTTCTAAAATTGTTTCATTTGACTCTGCAACAACTTGATTTCTTTCTTTTTCCTCGACTGATTAAATTTTTCACCTTGCTGATAGGTCAAGTCCTCACACTATTTATATAGCAAAACATGCAGTGTAAAGTGTTAGATAAGTATTACTACTCTAATAATTAGGAATGATAGAAAGATGTTCTACTTTCCTTACTCCCTTTTGACACCTCTAGAAGGTCCTTCTAAGCCAGTTACCAGGAAGGGAATTATAACAAGTTGTTTCCTGAAAATGCTGAGGTGTGTGCCTTAAAAGAAAGTCCACAATGAACCCATAGAGTTTCTAAGCTTCTTCCTCCTAAGACCCTGAAAAGTATTAAAAGGCATGGATTGGGAAAGGGGAATGCTCTGTGTTAAATTCAATAATGGCAACAAGCATTTCTGTCTAAATTCAGCACAAAAAATACAGGTTAGGCAAATCATAATTAAATGCAAAAGCCTATTCCTACTTTTGGACAATTTTCACGAATTTTAAAAACACAAGGGAGAACCTTAATGTCAGATAGTTTAGGGAGCTTCCCTTTATGGCTAAAGTCCCATCTTCATGAACTAATTTCTATTAGATTGTTTCTGTGAGCACATTTCCTAGAAGAGAAAGAATTTTTAAAGGATCATTTATCTTTTCAAAATAAACTACCAGGAAGTCTACATAAGCCCACAGAAGAAAATCTAAGGTCTTCTTTCTTTCCTAATATGAAAAGAGAGAACACTAGTTGTGCAGACTGGTTAGAAATAGAGTTGTATAACTCAATTCTCCAAAGTGTTCAAAAATGTACTGAAGAGCTCTCTGTTGAATTTTTAAAAATGAGCTCTCACACAATAAAATTGCACACAGTGAAAGTGAATTTATGAAAGATTGGAGACAAAATGATCAAATCAGGAGAAGTACAAACCCAGTTTCATTTCTGAACAATTAACCGAAATATTCTTAATACAATATTTTTCTGTCTTCCATTTTAAAACTCCCTCCAAAATTTTATAGCATCCAAATTCTTAAACTTGGCATGCTTAAGCTCTCTCACTGGAAGAGCGCTTTTACTGAATAGGAAAAGAAATACAAAAATGTCCCTCTACACTGATGGTCAGTGACTGCATTGGGGTATGGGTGGGGACTTGATAATATGGGTGAATGTAGTAACCACATTGTTTTTTCATGTGAAACCTTCATATGAGTGTATATCAATAATACCTTAATACCAAAAATTAAAAAGAAATGTCCCTCTAACACCCAAGCACCTTGGGGTCATTTATATTTTGCAGTGATAACAGAAAGAATGGATTACCTGACACACAGAGGTAGTACCTGTCCTGGACGGAGAGCTCTATTTCGATAAACTCGCACAGACTCTGCGAGAGCGGCCCGAACAGTTTCTTCTCCAAGTCCTCTTTGACCAGCGATGACATTTCCCCCAGCTGCGCGGGGCCTGGTGGCTCGGCGCAGGCTCTCCCTTTCTCTCTTTTTGCTCCCCAGATTTCTGGCCTTGGTTTGCCGCTCCTCGGGGAGTCCTGCCCACCGCGCAGCCCTCACGCTCTCAACTTAGCGCTCCTGGCCAGAGCCCGGCTGCCGGCGGCGCTCAGGGCGCTCAGGGCGCTCAGCCCCCTCACTGCGGCACCGCCCGGCGGGCCGCAGCCCCAGCCCCACCGTCACTCCTCGGCATCCATGCTCGCGCAGGCTGCTCTCTGGAGCGCTCCTGCGGTTTGCTGATGGGGAACGTATTTATGGACGCGGGCAGATAGACTTGTGGAGTCCCCTGGTTATTCTTGTCTAGTAGCCTTTTCCCTTTTCATAACTCTCTTCAGAGGAAGACCATTGCTTCAGCTTGATTCCATTATATAAATCAGTTGTCTGGCTGTATTGATTGGTATCATCTTGCATTAAGAACTTTGCTATCATCGGCGAGAGAAAAAGCATCAGTGCCTGCTTCTAACACTTCCAACAAGTCTCTTTGCCTCCTTTCTTTCTCCTCCTGCAATTCACTGAGATCTTTGCTTCTAGAAGAGTCAGTGCCAATTCCTGGCTCCACATTATTTTTTAAATGGGCTCACTTTAAATGTTATTTATTCCTCTACTCACAAGGAAACATTTACTAGGTAGCTACTGGTGCAATTTTATTTGTTTCTAGGGAAGGTGTATATCCTACCCACAAGGAGCTAATAATCTAATAGAGAGGAATACACTGAATAATTTTGAATGGTTAAAAGTGGTAAGTGACACAAAAGAAAAGGGAGTGTAGAAAAGACATTTGTACCTGGAGAGTATCAGAGAAAGAGCTATGGGAGTAGATGTGGAGGTGATGAGAGAAAAGTGTGGAGGGGAAGGAGGGGGAGAGGCACAGTCCACGGAAGAGCTCAGTGGTGTTTGAAGAACAGGAGACGGTCCAGTGCGCCTAAGTTGTAGCATGTGTGAAAGTAAAACAAGGTTGGAGAGAGAGACTGGGGCCAGGACATGGAGGGCCTTGAATACCACTTTAATCCTTTGGACCTTATCCTGCAGAAGTAGAGAGCCAATGAAGATTTTGGGTGTTGATGCATTCAACAAATATTTTTCAAGGGCTGTTCTGTGCCAAGCCCTGTTCTAGGAACTAGGAAGACAGCAATGAAAAAAACAGGTCAGTTCCTTGCTCTTGTGAAACTTAGTGAGGTAGAAGAAAAATAAAACAACGAAACAGGAGCGTTCAGGGTTCACTTAGCTACAAGTAACAGAACACACAACAGAAAGTGTAAATAGGAAAGACTTTAAACAATCTCTCCTAATAAGACATCGCAAGTAGGCAGCTCCAAGGTTAACTCCGCATTCACAGATGAGGATTCCAAGTGTTTTCCAGTCTTCTGGTCCTGCATGCTTAGATGTTGGCTTTTTGTCCCCAGGCTGCTATTGTTCAGCTCTAAAGGCAGGAAGAAAGGGGGTGGGTGGGGGTGGCTTTTCTTGATATTTCTTTTGTAGGAAGCAAACTCTCAGAAACCAGACAGCACACTTCCCTTTACATCTTGGGGGCTGTAACTGAGTCACATGGCCATCCCTAGGAAAGCAAGTATTTGTCATTTTTGGTTCCTACAATGGGAAAGGGGACTTTCTAACAACAAGGGGATGGGAATGACCATAAGCAGGCAACCAGTAGCTTCTTCCGGTTCTGCTCTAAAGAAAAATTAATGGCATGTCTGTGACCAGGCTGCACTGTGGGGTCCTGGGTGGGGCATTTGCCTTTCTGAGCTTCAGTTTCCTTGTCTGAACAATGATCTCTAGAGTCTCTCTCTCTCTCTACTTCTTCCCTACTTCCTATTCTGTTTGTAATTCTGGGAGTCTATTAAAATAATTTGGGCGAGCAGACCAGAGCATTAGTACTATGCTTTTGGATGTGGAAATGGAGAAGAGGGGATGAATATAAGATATATTAGGATGATGAAATCAATAAGCTATGGCACCTGAGTGGATTTGACAGGTAGAAGGTAGAGTAGATATGACGTGACAACTTTCTACTTCCATCTAGGGAATGTGTAAATGGGCCCACATCACAGAGACTTTCAGTAATTTCAATTATTTCTGGCTTCTACACTTGAAAAATTATTTCCTGGGTGTTTTAGTCTTTCTATAGAGTTAAAAAAAAGAGAGATTGCTGTGATAACCAGAACAACACACCAGTAACATTGTCACTGAAATTTTATTAGATATTTATTTATGAGATTCTTCATTTTATGTTTTCTCACATCCTAAACTGTAAGTTTCATGAGGTCAGGAGCTGTGTTTTTCCTGCTCCAGGATATTGTGAAGTGCAGTGCCTAGCACATCATAGGCATTCTTGCATTCACTTATTCAGTCAATTTATTTGTCAATATTTACTGAAAGAACAAATTAGTGAATCAAAGAGTCTTACAATAACTTATTCATTTTTTTGGCATAGCTGACTTTGCAGTGATCTATCCACACATTTGGATTGCACAGTCATCAGTTTCACCAACCATGTATCCTGTATCAGCATCCGTTTGTTCTTGTTGCCATGAATGTATGGATTTTAGTTGTAAAAGTCTCAAATGCATCCGTTTGTTCTTGTTGCCATGAATGCATGGATTTTAGTTGTAAAAGTCTCAAATGCATGTCTGGAGGAAATACTACAACTTTCTCTGGAAGGTTTCAAGGAAAGAGAGGCTATGTATTCCAGTATGGTCTTAAGTAACGTTGAAATTAGAGGCTCAGGAGCTGACATTGTGACCTTTTAGTTCCAAATTGAAATGTTTGCTATAAACTAAGTGTGTTCAGAAACGATTTGCCAATTGGTTTGAGTATTCTTATAGTATCAATTTGATTGACCGTCATAGGAGAGAAGTCATTTTAAAATGCAAATAGGCATCCTTTTTTAGGTTCTAAATAATTCTATGAGAACAATCTATCAAAACATTATCTAAATTTTAAAGAACCAAAAGATTTAATCTTAAAAGAAGTACAAATGATAATCCATTGAAAGTGGAAACAGAAAATCTTTAGAAACCCTAATTTCTTTGTCAGTTAAGAGGAATACTGTACTAAACCTTTGGAAACTAGCATTTACAGAAGAGATTATAAGAAAATAACAAATAAACACCGAACAGTGTTCATTAAGATATTTAATAGAGCTATTAAAACATTCTTTCCTCACAGCCAAAGGTTATTCTAGTCTGTTTATTTATTAATTATTTTTTCTGAAATGCTATAGAATTGTTAATGGGGATAAGGAGAAAACCATCAAAAAAATAACATATTTCTTGAAACACTTATTTTTAAAACTCCAACATCCCACATATGTATTTTCTACAGGGAAGGAATTTTTAACACTTACTGTTTCACTAATGAGGCCCTGCTAACCCACCATCCTGGATAAATTAATGAAGCTGTGTTCATGTAGATATAGCCCAGCTGGTGTACAGGGAAGCAAATTACTCAGAAGAAAAGACCTCCTTGCATATAAGACTCATAAATTAATTAACTGAGGAACTGAACCCTAGGTTCTAAAAGACGCACAAGAAGTGGATATAATTTCTAAGTCTATAAACAATCTGGATGCATTTTATTCTTACTAATTTTAGTTGTTAGACATCAAGGAACTACTTTTCTTTTAATTTTCAATTTTGGGATTCTGCTGTAATTAGTCTTTGACAATTTTATATTCTCTTGCAGTTGTTCTTCAATCAAAAGAATTATATGTTTGCTTAAGAAATGTGGGACTAAGTGTCCTAATTGACCATAAGTAACAGGATAAGAATATGTGTAAATGATAACAGGATTCTTCCTTTTGCACATTCACAAAATATAGGGATATAATTTTGCACAGAAGTCAGGACTTAATTTTGTTTCTGAAGTTGGGGTCCGGCTTCTGTTCTGTGTTTACCACTACCTCCTCATGTACCTCTAAAGCAGCCCTGAGAAGGGCAGAGCTTTGGTTAAGAAACTCCCAACTAAACCAACTCTGTGTCTTCTTTCAGACCCTCATCCCAAAGCCGTTTTGCTTAAGCAAAAGGCTGTAGTTGTGCGTGCCTTCACATCAGGAAGTCCTAAGTGGCCTCCAGGAAAGGAAGGAAGATACTATTTATCAGCACTTATCAATGTCAGAGTCTAAGTGTTGGCCTTTGCAATATGCAATGTTTAATTTAATCTTCCAGCAAAACTAAGAGGTAGATATCTGACTGTCTCCATTTTCCCTATGAGGAAACAGAATTCTGTGGAAACATGGCAGCCCTTATTAGAGCTTGACAAAGAGGATAATGCATCTCTGTGCCACATTTATTGCTTCTGCCTTTGGTAAGGATGTCTTTAGTAATAAAATGTTACTGTAACTAAACCTTCTTCATTAGTAGAGTCCTGAACTTGATACCTTTTTTATGTGCAATTATATGCAGATTGAAAAGTGCCAGTTCTGTTTTTTATCTCTTAAACTTTTATTTGTAGGAATCAGGACAATGCTAATATCAAAATATTAATCTTTATACAGACAAAATTTTTTATTACTGTATCATATCATATTTTACTTAATCCATGAAATATCTGTTCTTTAATCAAAGTATTTCCTTCGTAATTCTAATTTAGGAGCCCTTCGTGTGTGTGTGTGTGTGTGTGTGTGTGTGTGTGCATGCATGTGAGTGTATATAATGGGCTGAATGTTTATGTCCTCCCAAAGTCGTATGTTGAAATCCTTAGTCCCAATGTGATAGTACTGAGAGGTGATTGGGTCATAAAGGCAGAGCCCTCATGAATGGCATTAGTGCCCTTATAAAGGAGGAGCCAGAGAGCTCCCTTGGTCTTTCTGTGAGGAGCACACAGGGGAAGAACCAGGTAGCAGGCCCTCACCAGACACGGAACCTGCTGGGGCCTTGGTTTTAGACTTTCCGGCTTCCAGGACTGTGAGAGACAATGTTTGTTGTTTAAGCCATCCAGCTGCCAGCTTTCTCTTACAGCAGCCTGGATGGCCTGAAAAATGTGTGTGTGTGTGTGTGTGTGTGTGTGTGTGTGTGTGTGTGTGTGTGTGTGTGCACACTTTGAAGATTTGGGATAAGTACCAAATGGATATACTTTTTAAGGAGTTTTTTTTTGGTTGTTTCCAATTGTTTCTTCTGGTTATGGATTCTGGGTGCTGGCCCATAGCTCTGACTGTGGTCAGTTACTGAAGAATACAGCCCTACCCTGAAAGGAAAAGAAACGTGGCCGCTTCTTTTGTATGCACTCTTCCCTGACATTCTGACAGTCACCAGTGAGGATTCGCTGAGATACTCGCGGTCGCAGACTTCAGGCTATCACTAATATTGAAAATGTGTCGCAGTAGGAAGGCTTCAGT